CCAGTTGACTCATGGATCCCTCAATGGCCCCCTTGTTTGGTGGGGGTCTGTTTTTGCGTTACTGTTGAAGATGCTCTTGGCATACTGATTGAATGAAGGAAGAATTTTAGATGCTGACTGCCGGCCTGTGAGGGTGGCAACTCCATGAGGATATCTAAAACATCTCTTTCTATCAGGTGCACATAGCATCTCTCCAAATGGCTTGGGTGAATTTTGTGCCCTTTGTCAAATGGAGAGAGTCATTTACTATCTCTGTGTAAGTAATAGGTTACTCCTTTGACTAGGCAAATGATGACAGACACAGACAGAAAGTGAGAGGGTGAGCCATACACACACACACACACACACACACACACACACACACAGAGGAAGAGAGAGAGAGAGAGAGAGAGAGAGAGAGAGAGAGAGAGAGAGAGAGAGAGAGAGAGAGAGAAAAGAGAGAGAGAGAGAGAAGAGGGAGGGAGGGAGGAGAGGGAGGAGAGGAGAGAGGAGAGAAGAGAGAGGAGAGGAGAGGAGAGGAGAGAGAGGAGAGGAGAGGAGAGGAGAGGAGAGGAGAGAGAGGAGAGGAGAGGAGAGGAGAGGAGAGGAGAGGAGAGGAGAGGAGAGGAGAGGAGAGGAGAGGAGAGGAGAGAGAGGAGAGGAGAGGAGAGGAGAGGAGAGGAGAGGAGAGGAGAGGAGAGGAGAGAGAGGAGGAGAGAGGAGAGGAGAGAGAGGAGAGGAGAGGAGAGGAGAGGAGAGAGGAGAGAGAGGAGAGGGAGGAGAGAGGGAGAGGGAGAGAGAGAGAGAGAGAGAGAGAGAAGAGAGAGAGAGAGAGAGAGAGGGGAGAGAGAGACAGAGACAGAGACAGAGAGAAGCATTCAGGTGATAAAGTGAATTGAATGCATTTCTATTTTGAGGGGTTCTGAAAGTGATTACATCATTAAAGAATCCTACGTTAAATTAAATGGGATTCTTGATGAGATGGATTAGTCAATCAAGAATGCTTTATTAGTTATTTGCATAGCATTGTGCTAGGCTGAAGAGTGACAATGTAATATTTGTCTTTTAGGAACTCATAAACTGATTAGATAAGAAATAGTAGCTGACATTTATGTAGCACTTCACAATTTGCAAAGCAATTTTCAGCTATTATTTCAGTTGGGTATCACAAAAACCCTATGAGGTAGCTACTATAAGTTTATCATCACTACTTTACTATTACCTCTTTAGTATACAAGAAACCCATGTTGTGTGCCGCAGACTGTAAGTTCTATACAGGGATGTGCTAGAGTCAGCTCAAACTCATTTGTGAGAACCAATTGTTAAATTTTCAGATGAGCATTTAAATCATGGAAATCGGCAAGTGTTACAAATCAGGGCTTGATTTATTGTTTTGGTGATTGTCTAGTCTTATGAAAGTGACGGTGAACATGTAAAAATTCAGATTGAACTTAAAACTGTCATGCATACATTTTCTTTTCTTCTGAAGAGGCATTTGTTAAACATTTACAAGCACATAGAAGACTCCTATATACGTTTATTTTTTAAATTTTTCTTTCTTAACCTAATTATCAACAAAAATACAAGCCTATTTTGTATGTGTGTCTATATACACACACACACATATACACATAAACATACACGCATATATAGGGATCTATCTATCTATAGTTGTTGTTAAGTCATTTTTCAGTCATGTCCTACTTTTCGTGACCTCATTTGGGGTTTTGTGGCAGAGATATTGGAGTGGTTTGCCATTTTCTTTCCCAGCTCACTTTACAAATGAGGAACTAAGGCAAACAGGGTTAAGTGACTTGCCTGGGGTCACACAGCTAGTAAGTGTTTAAGGCCACATTTGAACTTAGGAAAATGAGTCTTTCTGACTCTAGGCCCAGCATTCTATCCACTGTGCCAACTAGCTTAATTATAATATATAGTTAATTATATAATTTCAATATATAAATAGGAAAAAAAACAATTGCATATAAAACTGTGGAATTTTATTAGATACAGTTTTTTTAAAGCATATTTTGACATTAAACAAAATTGCCCTGATTTTCCACCCTTCTGAATGTCTTATTTTCTCCTGTGTATCTTTATATCTTGTCAAAGTTCTCTCTGTCTCTGTCTCTCTCTGTCTCTTTCTCTAGATCACAGTTCTGAAAGCTTTCAAAGATGTTTTTGTTTACATTATTGTGGTCCTCATGCAAATTCTCCTGGTTCTCTTTGTTTTTTTCTACATCACTTTGAAGATGGGAATCTTCCCAACTTCCTCTAAATTGTTTATATTCATTATATCTTATAAAACAATATTCCTTTACATTCATATACCACAACTTGTTCATTCATTACCATTCGATGGGCACATACTTTATTTCTAATTCCTACTATCACAAAAAGTATGACTATAAATATTTTTTTATACAGATGGGTCCTTTCCCTTTGTTTTTGAACTCTTTGAGGTATACGCCTAGTGGTGATATCTCTAGGGTATATACATACATACATACATACACACATACATATATATATATATACACATATAAAGGGTATAAAGTTTAATTACCTTTTTAGGTATAGTCCTAAATTGTTTTCAGAACGTGTGGACCAATTAACAGCTACATCAACAGACCACTGGCGTGTCTCTCCTTCCACAGACCTTCCAACTTTTGCTATTTTGCAATTTCCTATAATTTTTGTCATCTTCTTAGTTAATTGTTATGCATGAGATGGAATGTCAAAATCGTTTTAATTTGAATTTTGGGAACATTCATTCAGAAGATCATCCAGCTGTCAAAGAAAATAGTCATGAGGAATATAGATAATGATCATCATGAGAACTCAGTATACTTTTCTGATCAATGTAGTTTTGTGAAACTAGGTGAACTTGTATAAAGTTGACAGTGAGCTCAAAGTTAGTTTGCACTGTTTATCGCATTACAAAAAAGTTGCAATTTGCAGAGTTGATGGAGATGAGTGTCTAAAGAAGAATGTTTAAATGTGCAGAAAAGTGGAAGAGCTAATGCAGAGAGTGCTTCTGGGAAAGGGTATTACCAAAAAGTCATGAGTGATCCCTCTTTGTTGTATCAGCTAATATATGTTTGACCTATCCACAAATAGGTGGTTCTAGGTTTCAGTAAGTATTGACTGACAAAATTCAGGCTTCAACAGGTTTGGTTCCAATTGTAGACTGGTTTGTGGATGCTCCAGTACTTTAAGAACCTGGGATTTCTGTATTGTGAGTGTGCCTGATGCTGACCTAGATCACAACCTTCTGAATAATTCAGTGATTGGTTTTTTGAGACAGACTGTGGCTAGGAATTATATCCCTCTGTGGCCAATCTGGTGCTGAGTCTTTCTGAATTGAATTAGAGTAGTCTTTAGACAACAGATATACAATCCATCAGTGGGACCTACTTGTAAAACTTTCTGGGCTGGTAGGAACTACCCTAGCTTGTGTTCCACTGGCATTGCCTTTAAGACTTCAGGGACATCTTCATACCTTGATGGGGGCAACTGAGAAATGTTGGTAAGGAAATTGTAATCCATTGACTTTCTTCTATCCTTTGATTTAAGAGATGACGCTGAAGACAATACTAAAACTAGGTTATAATGTTACCTTTGTGATGTTTGTTATCTCTGATATGTTATCTATGATGTTATCTGGGAAGGTGAAGGAAGGAATATAGCATACTTTATTCTTGTTATCTACAAAATAATGCCATCTTCTGTAGATATTAGCTTTACATGAACATGGAAAAAGGTAAGTGCATTCAGCTCTTGAAATTACCTTGTATATAAAATACTTTTATGGCATTTCTGTAAGATAGATAGATGGTAGATAGATAAGTGATAGATGATGATAGATAGATGATTGCTAGATGGATGGATAGAACATTTTTTTAAGTCCAGTGCCTATCACAGTGTCTGACACAGTAGCTATTTAATAAATATTCATAAATAGTTATCTACTATAGTGTTTTGCACATAGTAGTTGTTTAATAAATGTTGGTCGAATGAATTAACATCCTACAGTCCTGGTAATTTATAGATATGGAACCAGATACTTATTGTAGATAATCTCTCTCTCTCTCTCTCTCTCTCTCTATATATATATATATATATATATATATATATATACACACACACACACATACATACATATTACATATGTGTGTGTATCTTTGTATGTGTGTGTATTTGAATTTAATATATTAAGAAGAGTGAAGTTCAAAGATTCAACCCTGCATTTTTATAGCGTTCTACATTTTAGAAAGAACTTTCAAGACTTCTTCAGTGGATCTGTGCTCTCTGTGATAGAGTTACTTTTCACAGTGGCACAAATCCCAGCCCATTCTCATCTTTCCGTTCCCTTCAATTCTTGTCTGGGGCCTCCAATGAATCTTCCATAAGAATTTTACCTAAATGGGGTGCCAGTGTCCATATGGATCCATCTATCCATCTTTTATTCCTTCCTCTATTTCTGGGACTGGCTCATTTCCTTTCCAGACCTACATCTCTTTGATGAAGGGAGAGGAAAGTGAGAATGTGAGAGAGGGAAGTAAGAAAGAGGCACCCTATTTTTATACTCATAACAGTAATTCATGTTGTCATAGCACTTTAAAACAATAAAGTACTTTGAGTAGATTTAGTAGCAGACTGTAATAATAAAAAGAGAGCCAACCTTGCTGCTAGGAAGTTTCAAGTCATACCTGGGGAACAACAAGGTGGGGCAGTTGGTAGAGTGCAGGGCCTGAAGTCAGGAAGACTCATCCTCCTGAGTTCAGATCTGACCTCAGATACTTACTAGCTGTGTGACCCTGGGTGAGTCACTCAACCCTATTTGCCTCAATTTCCTTATCTATAAAATAAGCTGGAGAAGGAAATGGCAAATCACTCTCGTATCTTTGCCAAGGAAACACCAAATGAGGTCACAGAGACTCATGGGGTGACATGACTGAATAGGAACAACAACAATTCTCAGCATTCTAGGCTACTCTCTACTTCTGTGTCATAGAGAAGGTGCTTCTCTACATTGACAGAGGGAGTTTTCTCACTCATGAATTCCCCCCAATGAAAAGCACTGGGCCAATCATTCTCCCCACTTCCTGTTCACACACTTTACTTCTCAGAACATCTACTGTCTAGGGAGAAAAGAGCTAGACTTCTGCATCTTTGTATTACCAGTACCTACAGCAGTACTCAACTCATAGTAGATATCTAATGTTGAATTGAAATGAATGGGGAATCAGGAGACTGAGCAATGCCTACTTACGCTACCTGAAGCAATCTGTGTTCTCAAGTTGTTATCCTGCTCATCCCATCCCCAAACAAGTAAGTGATGGTATCTTCTGGACTGAAAGAGCACTGGTTTTAGAAATTGTGATAAGATCATGCATTTAAAGCTGGAAGGAATCTCTGAGGAAATCTAGTCCAACTACTTCATTTTATAGATGAGGTCTAGGGAGGTTAATAATTTGTAGGGGGAATTGGCCCCAGAGCATTTGAACCCAGGTCCTCCAATTCTAGAGGGAAAACTCTTTCCATTGTGCTGCAGTGACAAGAAGTTTAGATTTGGAGTCCAAAGACCTGGGTTCAAATTTTGCCTCTGTTCCCCATGTGACCTTAAATTGTCTGTGCCTCAGTTTCTTGGGGTTAGATCAGATGATCTCTCATGTGCCTTCTATCTCAGCAGCCCATGATCTCATGTGATTCTCACAACAATCATGCAAAGTATATCCAAATATTATCAACTCCATTTTATAGACAAAAAAATGAGGTTCAGAGACAAAAAAATTTAGCCAACATCACAATAAAAGGCTGATCTGGGACTAGAACTCAGGTATTTTGCCTCTTTGCCCAGTACTTTTTCCATGATACTATGCAGGTTCTCTGAGTTATTTATTTTGGGGTAGACGCCAAAAACTTAAATAGCCCATATATGAATGTATAGGTACAATCATTGTAAATTGTGCCCACATACTTTGCACCTGCTGATTGAAAATGAGCAGATAAGCATCAGCTGACAGACAGCTGTCAGTGGCCACTTAGGGTCACAGGTGGTGATCTGTACCCATGAAGTTGGTACTTGTACGCACAAGTCAACTGCACCCACATCAAAGACGCAAGTGCACTTCAATTTCAAAGCTGCCAGCTTTCATGTTTACCATAACACTGGTTTCTGTGGTTAAATCTGATAATGTTTCTGCCACTCACCCATTAAGGCAGGGGAAAACTAAGGGAAATTTAGTGATCCAGCAATACGCAGAAATGAGGAGTCCTGCTTTTGCTTCATTTTAATAAGCTGAATATAAGAAAAAAAACAAAAACAAAGAGGCTATTGGCCCAGATAACAACTGACATTTTTATAGTCCTTTAAAGTGTGTGAAGCCTAATCACTACCATTATACAGCTTAAAGTTTGCAAAGTCTACATTATCTCTTCTAAACCTCCCAATAATCTTCTGAGGTAGATATAATGGATATCATTTATCATCCTTATTATACAGATAAGGAAACTGAGACCCCATGATGTTAAGTGACTTGCCCAGGGTTACACAGCTAGTAAGTGATAGAGGTGGGGATTTGAACCCAGGTCTACCCTGATTCCAAGTCCAGTGTTCTATCCACTACAAAATGATGCAATTGGTACAAACTTTCAGTAATGAACAGTTTTTAGAAAGGCTTGGGGTAAAGCATGTCATCTTGCAAGGAAAAAACAATATTTTCTTCTCTGGTGAATATAACCACTGCTTCTTTCTTCATTTTCCTCCTCCCACACCCTTTGCAATTATGTATTTTTCTTTCTGTTGTTGTGCTATACACCTGTGGCATGTTGGCAGGGCACTTGCAGGATAGGGGAACTCCCAGATTCCAAGCTGGCCCTTGTAAAATTTCTGACCCCTTGATGAAACGTTGTCTTCTTGCCAATGTGAAAACATAATAATGTCCATTGCTGAGGAACACAGCCACTGTGTCAAAGGAAGCTGCTTCTGCCCTTGCTAAGTGAACCACTCTTCTGACATACATCTGTTTTAATCAGACTGCAAGGCCCAACTCCGCCAGCCATTAGCTGGGTAACCTTAGGCGAGTCACTGAATTCTCTGAACCCCACTTTTATCAATTTAAAAAGGAGGGGAAGCAGGGTTATATAGTGAGAAGAGCACTGGTTTTGACAACTGAACATCTAGGTTCAAATGTCAGCTCCGCTACTTATAACCTGCTTGTTTTTGTCCAATCACTTCACCTAGAGCCCACGGGCTGAATCCTACTCTGCCTGCTTTTTAAAAAATTAGTTTATTTTAAACTTAAATATGCAATAAGAACAGAAAAAGAGACAAATACTAAACCTTAAATACACAATGATAAAAGAAAAAGAAACATTATAAACTTAAATATTAAAACTTAAATACAAAATAAGAAAAGAAAAAAAAGAATTGTCATATACACAGCAAAAAGTGAGAGAGGATTCAAGATATACAGCAATAAATTTCCATTTCAAGAAAGCCTATGTAATTAATACTATGCCTTGTGTGGAGAGCTGTCCCTCTTTTCTTTTCTTCCTTTAAGTTTTCTTTTGTTCTCTGCTGTGCACCCCTGCCTGTTTTTGTATGGCCTGTGAGCTACGAATGGTTTTTACATGTTTAAATACATCAAAACTTTACTTTAAAATGTAAAAAAAAAAAATGTTATTAGGTCACAAGCTATATAAAGCTTGGAGTAGATAATGTCTGATTCTAAATTTTAGGAATAATTCAGTTCAATTTAACAAAAAATTATTGATCACTGTGTGGACAACACTGTACTAGGGGCTAGGAATACAAAAACATAACCAGAACAGTCTGAAGGGAGCTTCAGAGAGTGAAAGAAAAGATTACTAAACAACTAATTGTTAATATTGAAGAGACATAGGATTTACCCCTTTCTGAAGCCTTATTCTGTACTAGGCCAAGCCAGCAATGAGAGACATTACTGATAGTTAAATTAGATTAACTTTCTCCTCAGTCTTGTTCAGATCTCACCCAGGGGGGAAGTCCATTGTGTTTTATTCAGGTTTGGGTGGGGATAAATTCTTTGATTAGATTGCTCAAGGCTGGGGGTGGTTTGGAAGTAAAAGACCTGATCAAAGTCACTCCCCCAGCCCCTCATTAAAATAGGTCCTCTTCTCATTATAATATTCATTCTCTCTAGTTACTTGTTAACCAATCGGGTCAATTGCCACCCTCAGGAATATCCATACTTCCAAGGGCATATAAGTTTTGAGTGGGTTCCATGAGGAGTCTTTGGCATTTGAGAGTATCACTGGCCCCTTTTATTAATTATATGCTAGCATGATTAATGAAATGATTAATGACCTAGAAATTATGTCTCAAACTTTTTTCAACATCACAGGAGTTTGCATTCTGCTATGTTCTACTTATCCTAGTTACTTCACAGGATTATTGTGAGGTTTGATAGTCCATAAATGGTAGCTGTTGTACAAAATTAACAATTACTCACAGTTGTTAATTCAGTGCTCTAACCCTGAACTATCATTGGATTTGCTGTTTCACTCCAGTGGAAGAGTTTCCATTTCAGAGACCTCTATAATGAAAAAAAGAACCTAACAATTTTAATTGGCTAAATCCTTAAGATGAAATTGAGGAATGATTCTGATGGAACCATGGCCTGTAGCCTACTCAGAAAGCCTTAGGTGGGCTGTTGGACACTCCTAACACACTGACCTTGACCTGCTTCTGATGGTATCACACCCATTGGGATGTGGATTGTTGACTGGGGGAGTCTGAAAGCCAAGTGTACAGTGCTCTCAGATGTTGAGTCATATGTTCTGGAACAGGTATACAATTAACCAACAAACATGTATTAAGTGACTGCTGTGTGCTGTGTGTAAGCACTGTGCTATGTGTTGGGTTTACAAAGGTAAAAGTAAAAATCCTACTTCTACAGTGGTGTTAAACTTATATAGAAATGAATCCCAATAGGCGGCATGTTATTAGAAAACCACAAATTAACATTATCTATGTTCTATTGTATTTTTATTTTGTTAAACATTTCCCAATTACATTTTAATCTGGTTTGTACCCAACTCAGGAGTTTTACTGGCTTCCTGTTGCCAACAGGCCAAGAGTTTGACCCTTCTAAGAGCTGACATGCTATGAGGGAGATATCATGCATTTATTCAAGTAAATACAAATATACGCAAAGAAAATACTAAGTAATTTGGGGGAGTGAGGGAGAAACTAGAAACTGAGGGATTAGGAAAAGCCTCATGTAGGAGTTGACATTTGAGCTGAATTTTAAAGAAAGGTTGGGATTCAAAGATGTTACGGGTAAAAGAAAGAACATTCCAAACATGGATGTGAGACATAGAATGTTGTATATGAGAAATAGCAAGTGGACCAGTTTTGGGTTGAATTGAACAGTGTTTGAAGGAGAATAATATGTAGTAAAGCTAGGAAGATAGGTTGGAGCCATATTATGAAGGGCTTTAAATATTAAATAGAAGTGTTTATGTTTGGTCCTAGGCAAAATAGGGAACCAGTTGAGTTTTCTGAGTAAGGAAGTGACATGATCAAACCCTTAGGAATTACTTTTGGGAAACCACTTTGGCAGTGGTGGAGAGGACTGATTAGAGAAAGGACGTGGTTGAGACAAAGAGTTGAGTTAGAAGGCTGTTGTAGTCACCCAGATGAGAAGCTATGAGGCTGTGAAATGGAATAGTGGCTTGGTGAGTGGAGAGAAAAGGATGGATGTGAGAGACATTCTAGAGACAGAATCAAATAAGGCTCAGAAACTGATTAGATATGTGGGGTGAGGGATGGTGAACATCAGCCACCAGAAAAATGGTGCTGTCCTCTATAGAAATTTGGAAGTGAGGAAGAAGGATGGTTATTAGAGAGAAGATAATGAGTCCTGATTTGAATATGCTAAGTTTGGTGTTCCTGCAGGATAGACATCTCTATGAACTGTAACTCAGGGGAGAGAATAGAATAGTGTTGTATAGATAGATCTGGGAGGCATATTCACAGAGATGAAAGTTGAACTCATGGGACTATATGAGAACTCTGAAAAGAGGACTCAGAACAGAGCTTTGATATTTCCCTCCAGTTAGTGGGTATGATACTGGTAATGATTTACCAGTGAAGGTTAAGGTGTGACCAGACAGGTAGCTAGAAAGCCAGGAGAGAACAGTGTAATAAAAACCCAGAAAGGAGAGAATAGCTAAAGGAGAGGAGGGTCATCTGTGTCAGGCACTGCAAAGAGGTCAAGTTGGATAAGGGTTGAGAAAAGACCATTGGATGTGACCATTAATAGATCACAGGTAACTTTGGAAAG